ACAACTAATTTTTTTATTTACTCTTTCTGTTTCAGAACACTCTCCTGGCAAAGTGACGCTCAAAGCGACCACGGATTTCTCGCTCCTATCTAAATTAAGGGTAAGCACTTTTTTGCCATCGAGTTTAGAATCACAATGAATTCATGCCTGGTAAACTTGGTTACACGGTTAAGTAGAAGGCAACGAGTTTCAATCCAGTCAAGAGAAATTCTGTGCCGTTCTACATTGAATCTATTTATTTAGCCATTCGTCTAAAGATCGATTTATACATACTTATGTATGTAACCATTTCTTCTCACTGCCGTATTGATGTCTGCGCATTAATTAATATTTATATGCAATACACAAAATTTGTCTACGCGATTCTTTTCAATGAACTATTCTTCTTCATTAAATGTAAACATAATTGTAAGAAGGTCAGGAATTTATCTGTTAAAACTTGAAACGTTTTATTCAATATGTCTTTATTCTGCAAACCTACGAAAGTTCAGGGAAAAGAAGCACGGTGTATCTCGATCGACAGTCGACTAAAGAGTGCCTCCTCAATTATTCTTCGGTCCTTTCTTCCACTGCGTTCTACGCAACGGTTTTCTTAACGGACCCTCTCACCCTCTGCGTCGTTATCGGGCCTTTCTCCGAACGTCCAAGTCCCAACGTATACACATCTCGTTACCATCGTCTTGCGCCTTGGTGGCCTACGTGCTATTTACTCTTACATATGTATCATTCATATGTACACCATGACTACGTCTACAGGCATCATGTCGAATATGAAAATATTCAATCATTTTGTAGGCCTTTTGGACGTTTTATGACCACATACGTTTGTACCACATTGATGTGTCTAGTGCCTGTTTGCGGCAAAATGATGATAATGTCACACAAATCAAGAAAACGTTCAGTTTCCCCGATCGAAACATGCAATTTCACGAAGTGCATATTATATAATTGATCTTCTCAGAGTATGCGATACAAGGGGTTATGCCACGTCTCTTGGAAATAGAAAGTGACGTAATTTAACTATAGTAATAATTCTTGCGGATGGAGAAGGATAAAACGTTCAAGTATATATACGAATACGAATACGCACATGTACATCCCTATCTGTGATGTGTCCGTTCCCACTCCGAGATCAAACCGGGAAATGAAAGAAATGTTAGCCAAATCCTACGAATCGTGACCGGAGAGCATTCAGACCACGGATGATAACAAACACAGCACGAACACTCTATAAACAGAGTATTAACATTCAAAACTGTAGTCACTCTAATTCGAATCACCGGCACCAGCCGGGACAGGGAACGTATGCGAAACACAGTTATCTATAAATCGACTTTAAGTCGATAAATTGTGAACTTTTCCTTCTGTTTAGTGACCACCCAACATTTGTATTCGCACTGTTCTTCGTTTTACTTCTGCCGTCTCTGCCTTTGTTTCTGTAAAACTGAGTTGATCTTTCGAATAGAACCGTGGAATCTTTTCTTCTCATTGCAACAAAGAAAAAAAAGTGAGAAAACTTTCTTCTGTATTTGTTCAAGTTCCTCTGCTATTCGTGGAACTAGCAATAATAGAATGGTTCTCTGCAATTGTAAAAGTTTTGCGAAGCTACTTCTCTCTTTTTCGAGAGAAAAGAACAAGGGATTTGAACCTTGTTTAAGACTACTTAGCGTGATCTAAATTTGGAATTTTGGTTTCAGTTTTCGATGCATAATCTCATGAATCCGTCAGATGTAAATGGATACGAAAATAGATAATCGGAACGATCCGTTTTGTTACTATTGACGTCATCTCGCCACGTCATTCCAATTGCAAGAGCTTACACATGTCGGGAATATGAAACATGTTGAACATGTAACGTAATATGCAACCGTACTACTACTACTACTAATTTCTACCAATAGCACGTATGCATATAAGTACACGAGAAGGCCATAATTATGCTTTCATAATTTACCGTGAAGGTAGAAATAAAAGAGTACAACTCATCACATGGATTCACGTGATTCGCCGGAAAGTAATTTAAAAAATAATCCCGTCCTAGCCAATGATATTTCGTGTGGTAAGGATTTCTGAATATACTTTCTGGAATCCTTCCTGGAACTTCCTTAGTTGCACGTCTACGGATGATACAGACTTGTAGACCAAAACTTGAACGCCTTGATACGACGCGACGCCTAAAGATCAAAGGATTCCTCGAGTGAAAAAAAAGATAAAAATAAAGAACAAATACACGTTCCCACCGGCGCGGCGTCTCGCGGGTATCTAGGAACTTTGAAAACTAAGCTACGCCTTGAGCCATGAAAAAACACGCACTTCTTTAAGACAGGATCTCGAAGCTTTTCCTAAATTGTGGTCAACGAGAAAATAATGGAGACACAGAGGAAGATAAATGTCGACGCATCACGTTGCGTCGAAAAATGTTTAATTACGTTTCGTAATTACGAATTAATACGGAATTAAGTGTTCGTGAAACATCGAAAGAATTATAGCATACGAATAATAATCGAAAAATAATTTAAATCTGCCATTGGTTGCTTAAAATCATCTTATATCTACGCTGCGCGAACTTTTCTAAATTCATTACAACAACGGAACAGCTCTGTTGGAAAGAAAAAATTGGAATGAGGAAATGCAACACAGCGTCTCGTACTGAGAACTCCTGGAATTAATCTCGAACACGTTACTTGGGAATATTTTTTAACGAGCTTCTGATTAACGTTCGGGAGTTGCAATGCTCACGCCACGCGTCCTCCGGATGATTTACACGATCGTCCGACTTATTTGCAAAGTTTACGCAATTTCGTGGCCGTGACGCTTGGCTTGTAAATATTCAGAAAACTTCTCTTGGAACGAGGTGGTCGCGAACCGCTCTGCAAAGAGGAAGGAAACTTGAACCGCGCTTCAATATCCGAAAGAACATAAACTCACGTAGCCTCTGAATTGCCTCGACTCCCCATATTGTATGTATACCTTCGATTTTGTTTACTTGGACCGAATCTTTTTCATTTATTCACAGGTAATCTGCGCTCTGATCGTTTTTAAGTACATGAAACTTTATGATAAATGTTTCAACTTTCGCGTATCGACATATAACGTGTAAAATTAAAGGAGAACACGTCAGTGAGTAGAAACTATGAGTGAGTGAACAAATATTGTGGCATTTATCTTATCACTAGTCAACCAATAAATTGATATTACGAGAATTAATATTATTAGAGCTCCACTCGTTTATACGAATACACGAATACACGAATACATAGAATATTTAAGCTTTAAAAATTCTTGGTTTTTTTGAATGATTATTTTAAAAAGAAAACGAGCTCGAAAAATAAATTACTTTTAAACAAAGAGTATTTTATCTAAAAGGAACAAAGTGCATTCGATACGGAATAACGTGTATTTATTCACGAATCTTGCGATAGCTTGAAATAAGAAGATAAACGAAGCAGGCAATGTAAACGCTATACAAGTGGATATTCGCGTGATTAAACATGGATGGAACGGATAAAGAATTACATTTCAGGACAAAGAACGTTGTCGTTGCTCACGACGAGAAGGGAAGGATAACGATTTCCAATAGACTTTTAACAAGATCGAGAGTAATGGGAGATGTTCCATTACGTCAGAGAAATGTTGTAACCCGACGGCAAATACTTGTTATACCCGACGTGATGTTATTCATTCCCTCTTGATTTCTTTCCTATTTGCATTCATAATCGAGCGGAGAGGCAATAAAAGGATAATAAAAAAAATAAACGAGCATGATAACTTTCACAAAGGCAGCTAATCATCCTCGCGAACTTCATGGAAACTATATGTATACATACATTCAAGAGAGATTTCATTACAATGCACACTAGTATTAAATGGAATTTCGTTTGTGTCGCGGTTTCTGAACTTTTCTACCGTTGTTACTTAATAGACAATTAAAACACACATACTGAATAATTTCAGCAAAGTAGTAATGTAGATTTGTATTGTAGTTTTTTCTTCAATTAAAAACGAGTTAAATGAAATAAAGCGAAACTTTGAAGAAATAGTACATATTCCTCGATTTGATCAGACAGATGAGATCCAAGGGTATACCCCATTAGGGATGAATCGCGTAATCTTAGCAATCTGTTGATAAATATGCGTTTCCTACGGCCATGGTGCACAGCTGCGTCTACTTTGACATCTGTGCACTTTATTGTGCCTTCTGTGCCTCCGTCTTTATACGGACAGATACGAACGGAAATTATAGCATTACGCTTCAATCACGTCCCGTCAATAGCAAAGACGCGCGCGTCTCTATTCTTAGTTTGACGAGTATTCTCATCTCGGCTGGTAGTATCTTTAGCAGCAAGAGCCTCCGTTTCCGAATGGATACACTGGACTTTAAATTAGATACTGTCCACTAAATAAAACGAGTGTCGAAACTGTTTAACAGAATAAATATCAGTGCATGTGTGTAATTGTAACTATCGACAATCAAGAAACAAAACTCTCTTAATGTTGTGTTGAGAATTGGTTAAATTAATTGTGTTTTGTATGGTGACAAACAACAAATGACGTGAAGAATTTAATCAAAGAAATGTATATAAAGTTCTCATTAAAAGTTTCGAAACCTCTGCCGCGATACAATAAACGTATTTTCTTCAGTCCCTTTATTTCATTATAATGGCGTTTCTCTGGTGCGTAATTACAACATTCAAGGCTGCAACATCAAGCGGACTCTCGATTATTATTTTTGAGAACAATATCAGAGAGAAAAATTTTACCACCTCGTACATGTAAGTGAATACACACAGAAATTAGTACAGCATAGTAGCATAACGGACTCAACTTCGCCACTGCCCCATAAATCAAAATTAGAACTTTCAAAAAACTAACAAGGCGGAACTGCATTCTCACCTCCCTGACCCAAATAAAACAACCAGAAGACCTTTAGAAACCACCCATGTGTTCTTTAACGCATATAAGAAATCTTGTATGTTGTCTCTGGCGCTCCCAACATCCTGTTAGTCAGGCATGTTAACACCGGGCATGTTACCGAAATCGTTGCTCTTCTTTCGTTCGCGCATTAGCCACTCCTTTCCATTTACCTCCCAGAGGGAATGCGTTTTTGCGAAAAAATTAACTATCAAACAATGTTTCCAGTTACTTCACATCATATGATTTTCCGTTTCTACCCCAAATATAATATGTAGGTATATTTCGTGTTAAAGAATATCTATACGGAATTAATCATATGTGTCATAGTTTACGATTCGTAAGAACAACTCCAATTCCTATTGATTCGCCCTATATGTATTTCACAAGTTCTTTGTTCCTCGAACAATAAATACGGACTTTCTACTCCCGCGTTCGATGACACTCTCCTCGAGACTCACACCGGTTCTTATTATACATACATATACATGTACTACATACCTAATAATAGTAAATTTTCGCGATCGCCGGGCGCCTTCATTATGCACGCATTGTTGTAGGTATCGCTCAAGAATTGACAAACGTTTACTCGAATGTTACTTATAAATGTAATTATCCGTATTTCGTCATTCGTCAGTGCAACCCCTTGGCTCGGCATCGTTCTTCCTTAGAAACCACCCTAGAGAGGGTTGTACATCGTAATCAAGAATGTCGCGTGTACTTTGGCTCGTTTGTCGGTATGCGTGCGCATGAGACGATGCATGCGGATATTATGCGTGAAATTCTGGTATATTATGCTTGTGTGTATGCGAGTAGACACACGACGAGAGGTTTAGTTACATAAAGGGTGTCGTCCCGGGAGGGTGGTACGGCAGCAGGTGTATATCGACTCCGCGCCTGTATTAATACCTTACTCCGATCCTTCTAGGGCATCGTCTTAGTATCCTTGTCATGTTACAGAAACGCGGACTGTAACTGGAAACGACTAGGAGCAGGATGTCATAAAATTACACCCTTAAACGATATCAGCTAATGCTTTTTATATCATATCAACAAAGGATATACTTTCGTGGCACCTTTCACAGTTTCTTCCAAAAATTGCACACGTTGATACGTAAATTGTACACGTAGGCGTTTTTCTCAAATGTCGACAGACATTTCTGTCGAATAAATATCTATGTGTAATATATTTAAATCGAATAATTTGTCAATTATTTTTGCACGTTAATGAATAATTGAATAATTATATTAAATTAACACGTCGAATGTTTTTTAAACTGGTACCAAAAATGTTTTATATTGCATAAAAGTTCACAGCCAAACTACAAATCTTATTACTTAAAATTCCAAACTACTCCATCTTCAATTTGACTTATAATAATAAATTATGAGACACAATAAGATAGATCTCTGTCGGTTGAAGAACCAAAGCTTAGAAACAAACGACATTTTATATGCACCAATCTAATACTTCGTATTCATTTTCAAGTTCCACCACTCAGCGACTTGGTTTTTGTTCATGAAATATTTCTATTCCATACCTTTTGAATTCTACACGCGATAATTAGCGCAGCCCAAGTCCGGACGCCGGGACATAGTTTTTGTATAATTCTTCGTGTGTAGAATAACTGGTAATTGGGTCTCTTTCAACTCACTTTCCATGAAAAAACTTTGCAAAATTAAATGAAATAATTTGTCAAATTCGCGCAGGTAGAAAACACGAGAGTAATTGCGGAAACGTTTCGCATAGATGAGAATGGAATTGCGTTATCAACGAATGCCATTATTCAAACAGCGAACATCGAGGGTATCGATATTCATTGGTAATTAAGTATTAACAGCATATCTCTGGAAAATGACCTCTCGGCTAGAGTTCAGGCTTCCCTCTACGTTTTGAACGCGTTTCTCATTTATAATTAGAAAGTCGATTACCGGCGCGGCGCCTTTGCGATTGCTGAGCACAGATATGAATACGCTCAACGAATAAAATAAATAATTTCTTTCTCGCTACAACTCCCTTTCGAAAACAAAGCTTGGACACGAGGAACCATTGTTTCAAACCGAAGACAAATCGATTTTAGCCTGTAGTAATTTGTTTGAATTAAACCGTGACTTTAAATCGAAGTCAATGAATAAAAGTAACGAATGCTGAGGAAAACAATAATAATTATTGTGTTACCATCATTTATTACCGTCGAGGTAGGCAGTGGAAAATGTATGAGTTGAATACGAGCAGTGTCATAAAAGGAAAACAAATTTTCACTGGCGAAACAAAATAATAATATTTATTTCGGTTGTGACGGCAAATGACATGAATAAAAAATAACGTGCCTCCGGTGATGGACAATTAGATATTTGATAAAAAATGCTTATTAATCAGATTTTCGTTCATGCTCCATTTGAATACGTGGAGTACGAGCTGGAAATCAGATAAATGTTCGTGCGTGACACGCACGTTCGTTCGAAAAATGAGCAAATTATGAAATTCATGGCAACCCAGCTCTCTCTCTCTCTCTCTCTCTCTCTCTCTCTACTTCTCGCTCCGTTTCGCGCGTCGCTGTCCCTTTCTGTTTTTCGATACAGCCCTCGTTGAACACGCGGAATATCCATTATTGGATAAATAACGTATTTTCTGTCGTTAATATACAGCGGTCGGTATTAATTTACGCACCAGAGCTGCAATTACCTCACCAAGTCGAAAGCATTTCGTTTATTAATAGAAAGAGCACGATTCGACGTTCTACACGTTGTTCCGACTAACGAAAACTTTAAATGAATGAAAATAGACTTTTTCGGGTGCGGAATACCGGTGAGTACCGCGGTTTCAAACTGAATTTCGTTTCGGCCATTGTGCGCAACATTTTCCAGTTTATATTTCGAATTTTAATAGCCTCGTTTTTCGTGAAAATCTAACTTTTCTATTATTTTAAACAGAGAAGCTGGTCGCGGACAGTGATCAGGACCTCAAACATGTATGTGTTTTACTAGGGACTTGATTAAATCTACGAACAAAACTCGTTAGTAGGATCCGGCGGATTTCATAACTTCATAACGGACTGTTGCCATATATATTTATTCGAGTAAGTTGATCGCAACGGATCAAACCAGCAATAAAATTTGTACGTGCATAGAGAAATTTCTGTTGAATATAGAAATTTCCAAATAAATACAGGTATATCCCTATACTGCGTTCCCATACGTTGAACTTTCAGGGATAACTTTGATAGTCCAAATTAGTTTTAGGATATAATATGGATAAGATAACATGGATATGTAAAATGGATGGAACGTAGAATTGTTGTAAATATATCTTCTCTGATCTATCGCGAAGACTATCGTATCAACTAACTGTAACTGAACATTCGAGACCTTTTATGTATAAACCAGAATCCTCTTATGCATATTTACAACGATAACGTATTTCCCAAGTGTGTACACCAATATAAATTAATACTATCTACTAATTCATATTGTAAGCGAACTTAACTAGTAAGCAAGAATTTTGACTGAACTACAATTCCTTTCTATAACATAAGCTTATGCATATACTTTTTACCCGAGACTATTCAAATGAAGAGCCGGTATGAATTTGACTGTGATAAATAAAAACGTAGTACTGTCCTAGTCCATTTCTGGGCCCACATGCGAGGCCGAAATAAATCTTTATACATATATACAGTGTATTCAACTGAAGAGCACTCTTATAACTATTTTAAATGCATCAGACATACATTTTTTTTTCCAATTTACGATAATTCCTAGAGCGAATCGAGCGAATACAACGATCTTTATGAGTCAATTCATGTATTTTTCATATATCTATCAAAGTTTTTCGTATTGTCGATAGAACTCTAATCCCCGTAATGATTATTCCCTAATTAATCGTAAATCCAGTAAATTATGAGATAGTTATCAATTTGGCTATCTATTACGAATTCTACTGTTACAGCACACGAGTACGCCGTGTGTTCAATGATATAATTATACAGCATATTAATTAACAGGCCACAGAGACCTGTTGTACGTTAATTAACTGACGCGTTGAGATTTGTTCACGAACGAATAACCGTATCTCGACAATGTTCACGAATAAATTCCAATTCTATCGGAATTATCTTATCGATTGAATTGTCTCTTTCACTAAATCTTTATGTTCACCTCGGACGGCTACAAATATGAAATTTAGAGAGTACATTGTACACTAAAGCAAATTTCTTTTGGAATCAATCGATTATTCCGCCTTACTTTATTACAAACAGGTTCTTCAATTACTGTGCTTAATAAAACATGTTAAACTCAATGAAAGATAGAATTACATCGGATAATATTCGTATTATGCTAACCATTTCGCATTATATTTGAGACGAGATCTCAGTTACTTGTGTTAATTATGATCGGATTACGCGTAATCTAATTTCTTCCGATTGCACAATTTTCCATGCCGAGTTCGTTCGACAGCGTTAATCATCCACGAAGCTCTGCCATTGAATATGTATCTGCACAGCTATCCAGAGTTTCAAATGAGATAATAACAAAGTCATGCCCGACCGATTCGATCGTATAAATTCTGTCGATATTGACAACTGCGAATTAGATTTTCAAATACCACTAGGTATTGTTCGATATGCCACAGATTCGTCGAATCTCTCGGCGAGACTTTTACCGAGTGTGCTACCTACTTGCCTCGCCTCGGATTACATCGCCTTGGCTCGAGACAGGAAATTATTGCATTTTTGTAACTGATGTTCTCGAATTTGCGGCTCGCCCTCGCGCCTCGTGATAAAAAAGTCAATTCGCAGAGCGTTGACAAGAGGAAGGACAAGAAGGCGACTCGAGGCGAGTGCGATGCAAGTACTTACAT